CAATTGGTTCTAGCGCAAAAAGGCCTTGTCGAGAACGAGTTAAAGTTACAACATGGGCAGCTGATCCGACAGCATGACCGAGATCATGCACGATCGAGCGTACGTATGTCCCACCAGACACCTTCATACTGAGTACGAACGCCGTCGGAGACTCGCCATCCACCGAAGGCTCTAGGTCATCTTTGATGATAGGGTTTTCTTCGACTCCTTCTAAAGCCTTTTCCATTGCTTTTTTTTCATCAGAAGTGAATGCCTTTTCTGGCCAACGGAATTGGTGATCACTTCCTTTCCATTCGAGAATGTCTAAGGAATGTATCGTGACCTTCCTCTTCTCGATAGGCCGAGGTAGGGGTATGCCTTTCCGAGCATACTCGTACAGCGGTCTTCCTTCCATCTTGAGCGCGGAGAAACTGACAAGGATGATATGAAATCAGGCAGGTGCAGGGAAATCAACATATTTACATTGGGGGCGCTTGGTGTATCTCCCCTCTGAATTTATTTAATGCGGACTCCACGGCTTCTCTAGTGACATGTCTCCAGGGTGCAACACGCACTCGGCTACCTTCACTATCGTAGGTATCAGTTTCGCATCCCAAAAGCGCCGTCGTGCGGTATTCCTGATGAATCTCGGTGAACCCTTGAACTCAGATTCATTGATGCATGGATGGAGTACCTTTACACAATCCAAAAATTCGTTGAGACGCTTGGTCCCTTTTCCGATACCTACGACTGGATGAGAGGGTCACAGGGATGAGATGACTCCAGGATCTACGGCAACGGGACGCGATCATACCCAGAACGCCATCAGCAAGAGGATCAAGCGTCCCTCCTTGTCCTATCTTCACTATCTCGCGTGCGCGTTTCCCCCTAGTAGGAATTTTACCTTTACCGCGTTTCTCCAATTTATCTGCTTCCACAAACAAACGCGAGTTGCCGACTAATTGTTTGAGATCGTTGATGACAGACATCGATGTCGGTCCGGATGGCTTTATGATAGCGAAAAGCCCAGACACGGGCAGCTGTGGCAACGTAACTTTTGGCATCCTTCGGCACGGTCTGCGTGTAGTCTGGTGCAATTGACTCAGTGTGCAAGAATCCCCGAGGAAATCTTATTCTCTTTGTGGCACTTTGTTTGTACTAGTTGTACACACTAGCTCAGCCCAGCCTTAGATCTGACAAACTTTAAAAAAGCGAGTCTCGATCGATCAATGGCTGTGTCGAGGAAGCGAATTGGGGTTTACTAAAAGTTGCACCACCACCAAGCCGTCAAAGCGGCCCGCAAAATGCACTTAATTTCAGGGATTGCGCAATGCATGCCAAGAACTCTGTACAATAATGGTTAGTGGGAGATGCAACATGACAAGTAGTATCTAGGCCTATCAATCAAGTCAAGGGTGCTAGTCAAACGCACGATATACAGCACAGCACGGCGCGGCGTATCCATACACGCTAGATATTCCCGCTCACCCAAGATCCCCCACAGATGCACCTCGCCGCCCACATCCTTTCCCAAGACTTCCATCTCGGAGATGAATGTCCCCCAACCATCACCTCACCTCCGACCTGCGAGCGTCCACCGCACCTCAGGCAAAACAGCCCAGGATTTTGCGTCAGAAGCCTTCCTTTGGTCACCACGTCCATCCCCGGATCGTCTCCCACTGGACGATCCGACGCTGACAGATTCGCAAACCCGTCGACAAGATCAGATGACTTGATGAACAAACGAGGCCTGTCTATCGCGGATGATGTAGTGAGCGATCGGATGGTCTTCTTCAATTGCCCATGCTGCGCGGGCACAGGATGTCCCTCGGCGAATGAAGCCATGACTTCTTCCACTAAATGAGTTTAAGCTTTCAACGACGAATACATACACAAAGAATTGAGATACGCACCTGGAATTGCACTTGCTTCCGGGATCGCAGTGCTGAGAATGTCTTCGAGGACTTTTAGGTCCAAGCCTGATGAACTGATGAGGTCCAGCATGGTATCCCTCGCGAACTGCGAGTTCTCCCGTTTTGCCGTCATCGAGGCTAAATATCGGTGAAAAGAGCTGACGTGAAAAACTACGGCCCTAAGATTTGTGAGAGCAAGCGGATGGACTAGATGGAGAAGTATCGGCGCGTCCAATGACACTGAATGAGGCGATTGGTCTGTGGCTTGTTGAAAGGGGGATGTGAGCCAATTTCGTAGAAATGGGTTATCGTCCATAGGTTCCTCCTTCGGCATCACTTCGTTGGGGTTCAGGCTCGTGTTTGGGGTTGGGTCGGCCAGGTCAGCCAGAAAGACGCATTCTTTCATGAGATCCTCCAAGAAAGCAACCACCCAAGTTGACAGGCTGATTAACTGCCAGACGGGCTCTTTTGAAAGAATGAAAGTGACTACGTTAAGTGTTTGTTTTAACGATCATGAATCCGCAACAAACTCACCGAGGTCATATTCCTCTGACTCTTGGCAGTCTTCAAAAGCGGCGAAACAAGCAGAGACAGAACACACATTGAGAGCGTTTCGCGAGAGCATCAAATATCTCTCTTTCTCATCTTCATTCTGCGTTTGACGTGCCCTCGCTCTGTTGCACATCAGCATACATGCATTGGAAAATATGGAAATTCGTCACCTGTAGATCTCAACAGCAACTCCCATCACGTCGACCATCGTAAACGAGTTCGCGGTGCCAAGACGGGCATTCACTTCATAGGAGGTCAACGTACCAAATAGCGTATCGTGCAGCATCGTGGCTGGAGTACTTGGTAGAGACAGAATGTGAGAGATATCTGCTGTCGATCTTCGAGATTGAAGTGCAATGGTCAGAGCTTGGGCGAGCGGCAACTGATGCAGGGTGTCTAAGGTGCGTAAGTATCGACGCAGGTGGGTGGTAACGTTACCGACCTTTCGATCCTGAAGTAATCCGTGCCCTTGGAAGTGTGTAGATGGAGGTCTGCAACATCGAAACTGCACAGGCGAGTAATTTGTTAGGCGATGTGAATATGCTCAGAGGACCTGTCCCGGGAAAGTAAATCATTGCTCTGCAAGCGTAAAGATGGACTCACAATCGCCGCTCATTCTGTTAACAGGTGCAAGAATGCTTGGATGATCGTAGTCTGTATCATCGGAGAGGTCAGGTCTGCTAACAGTTAGGACAAGAGCATTGTAAGTGAAATTGACGGCTTACAGTTGCAAGGCAAAGAGATTGCCCACAGGGAACTCTTTTGGTTTGGCTGCGCCTCGCGGCAACGAACCCCCTGGATTGGTTATTGCAACAATTACAGTTATCTTTCTCGTTGCAATCGACAAAGAGCCAGGGGCAGCAACTGTAAGGATGCGAGGAGAGAAAGACCGATCTCCGACAAGCCGAGCAGCCTATCCGCAGTTCGATCAAAAATTGGCTCACGATGAGGTAGGCATACTCACCCAAGGAATTTTTCCATTTGGAGGAACGACCTTGACTATTGAATATGCAACTATGCGAGACTTTGGCAGCGATGCGTCTTTTCAATCAATCGATTATTGAGTAAAAATGAGTGCTCAACAATGTGACTGTGAATCAACCTACATTCCTCGAAATCCAAGAATGATGCGACTAGATATGTTGTAGGTAGTTCTAGTTGACCACGTTGGGGTTGCTTGTCCTTCGTTGGCGATGTTTTGGGCGAAGTGGAAGTATCTGGTTTGGACGCAGGTACCGAGACGAACATGAAGTTTGTCAGGCAAGGCCCGGGATGGTGAATGGGTGAGAGAGGTGCGGCGATGATGACTACATGAAGATATTAGAAATCTGCATTTCTATATTTTGGAGGACGTACACATGTGCATGCCGTCGAAACGGAGTTTCACCTCACAAAGCTCGATCATTTGCTCCTCTTCATAAGAATTCCAATCCAACAATGGTGGGCGCTCATCCAGTTGATTATCCACAGGCATATCAAGAGAAAGTCCGAGATCATGCGAGCTGTCCGATGCTGCTGCTCTTAAGGTATCTGATAACGGATAGCGTCGGGATCGCATGGCAACCATAAACACAGACTCTGCAAGACGCGTACGATCTAAGACGCGTACGATTTCAGATGAATGCGACTAGTGGCCAAAGGTACAGGCTCACCGTGGAAAATGAAACTTAAGGAAGCTGCACTGCAGAGCCTGGAAGTCTTGGGTCCACGGGGAGGATCATGAGCAACTTGGCTCGCATTTTCAGCAGTATAGCACGGCTGCACGAGGGAACAGGTCAAAGATTTTACACCTGAGGCATAAGTCCGCAGGAAGTAGACATTTAGTTGATGAGCCTGAGTTACTGTGAGTAGGGTTGGGTTATAGATAGGAGTCAGAGGTCCGGATTGAGTCAAGCGAGTGGTAGAACCATCCGGGCATGTAACCCACTAGCACGAGGTTTAACGATTTGAATATGAAAAAAAAAATAGATGATGTCACCTCGCGTTCAGCGCCGACGAACACAGCGCTGACTATACCAGCGCCTCGTTCGCAAGCCCAGTAGTCTCTGATATTCCACTTGTCGATACTGTATCCACGCTGCCACAGACATCCGACGCCGTCACGGTCGCGGCCTGGAAAGTATGCGAATAACCAATGGTCATTGGATGAAACTGTGATGACATTTGGAGGTTCATAAGCAGCAGGATTGTTCAATATTTGATCCGGAGATACGATGATAAATTGCTTTGAGGAAGAGAACAATCTTCCGAGTATTAAGGGCTGAGAAGGGTGTGGAGTGAATATGGTTGATGCATTGGACCACGCGACGGGTCTTGAAGCATAGGCGAATTAGATAAAAAGTTTTGAGTAAATTTATTGGAAGTGACCTTTTGAGATGATCTGCTAGGGGATTAAAATCCCACCAGTGTGAGTGCCAATTTTGTGCATCAGCTTGCTTTGCCTTTCCCTTGGAAGGAGAGTTTCGGGCGTCAGGGTACATTTCTCCTTGAAGAGAACATGCGTTCACGGAACAAATAAATGACAACGGGACTTAAGGACTTAGATCTCCGTATTAAACCGTCTCTATCTCCCTATCGATCACCATGCTCAGCGTACATTCCACCTCAGTAGAGCTGGAGGGTGTACCTACGGAAATTATGGTACAAGGATTTGCAGATCGTATCCTCGTACTTGTTACGCAAATGGGCAAAGTTGGCAACTTGGTGCACTTTTAGCAATTGTACTTGATTAATCAACTACTAACGAAGGATGTAAAAAGATTCAAGCATCTATTCCATCGACGATACCACTATTGTCGGCTCACGATGAGGAATCAAATTCTACTGGACTCCCTGCGCCCCCCGCAGCCATTCAACTTACACCGCTACTTGGTGGGGCTTCCTCTGAACATTTGCAGACGTTGCATTCGTTATATGCAGCACAAATTGCCACTATTATCTGGGTTGAAGAAGCGAAGAAGATGGTTGTAGACCGAAAAAGTGTTGTAGTTGGAATCGCGCTTCGTAGGGAAGGTGACGCTGATGAAAGAAAGACATTCCATGGGGTTATGAATCATCTTTACCGCCTCCTAGTCTAATGGTACATTCCATTTTTAGAATACACTAGGGTTAGGGTTAGGACTACCAAAGATCAAAAAAAGGACGGCCTGCCCAGCCAGAGTGGCCGTGGCAGGACTGGAAAATATTGAGACGGTGCATGAGCCGGAGCCCATACAAACCGTAGTTACCCTCTGTATGGACAGGGTCGCCGTGCTATGAAGGGTCCCCACGGCCCACAAACCCAGGTACTTGAAGGAGCCTATGCCATCAAGGTAAGTATGAGTTGTTACACTGTCAACACCCCGTTTATATACACCACAATCGCGCGCACGGACCATCAGCTACACGCATTCCATTTATGGAAATCGGGCAAGAGGCTAAAACTTATTGCAAGCCAAGCTGCAATTTGTTCTGCTGGCGCTGCAACATGTCCCGAATATTTCGTCGGTCCATCAGTTCCTTCAAAAGAGCTCCTCAACCGTTCCCAATTGCCGAGGATAGTGCACAGTTTGCTACTCACTTAAATAATGTTTTCCCCTCCCTCCATTTTCCTCCCGAGCTTGCACAACGTATCCTCACCCATGGAAGTCACAAGGCAGCTGTTCACGGTCATAATGGACGGCTCAGCTTCGTAGGAAAGACTTTGGTCATCCGTCATATATATATATCAAGTACTTAATTGTTTTTTACAGGACGTCGCGTGCTCGAGTCTTATTATCTCCTCTTCCTGCATTCCGTCGCGCGGAACCAAAATCAGCACGACTATGAATATCTCTCTTCTCGTGCTCTAAACACCTACCTTCTGGGCGAACACGTCGCACCTCGGTGGTCCTTGGGTCGTATTCTGCGATGGGCTCCTACTGTCTCTCAAGATGTTTTACTGGCCCACAAAAATGTCAAAAAATCTTCTGCAAAAATAAAACAGTCCGCAGATGCTGAACTAGAAAATGCACTAACGGGAAATCCTGGTATCGTCAGAAGTGTGGGTCTTTACAAAGTCATGGGAGACACGGTGCAGTCCGTGATGGGTGGTGTCTATCATCAATTTGTACGTCCCTTCACGCTGTATCACAAACCTGAAGTGTTGCGATCATCGCTCACGCATCCATTTTGTAGGGTGGTTCTGTGGCTCATCGCTTGTTTCATACTCGTATTCTCCCCCATATTCTGTTGCCAGACAAGGCTGAGGGTGTTCCCGTGGAATTCCATCACCAGGCACTGGCAATTTGTGAACGCATGGGTGGCGTGGACGGGAACTTGTTAGTTCAGGAACCTCCCTCAAACCGTGCTCTTTCGGAGTTTGAGATCGAGGCTGTAGAGACAGTCCAGCCAAAAAGAGTTGCGTGAGTGTGTTCTCGATAGACCTTCTTCATTGTCTGATTATCTCTCTGCAGGGCTGCTAGCGCATGAGTGTACATGACTCTCACCATCTATCATGTTTATTTTATGGATCGCATTAATTGCAACATCATTTTAGCAGTCTTGCTGGCGTGTCACTTGAGAGCAACATTATGACAGTGCCGTCTATGAGACGATCAACTTTACTGATGCGTAGTCGTAACGCCAAGGACAGACCCATTTGATTGGTGGCGAGCCATTCAGACACCACTATGTGCGTGGACGAGCAGATCGCTAATAGATCAGTATTTGTTTCCTACTGCAGTGAAAATACGTTCAATAGCATGGTCGCTCCTCCCAACGCCGGCGCTTTCAGTGTTATGCGTCATCATCATGGTTCTGGGAGAAGTCCGGAGATGAAAGCACATCAAAATCAACCCTGTTCTACACATCCGGTTGATATCCTGGCACCTCTGCAGCTCCTTCAGAAAAGGTCACCGTGATCATCGCCTTCATAAACGCTCGTCATATTCCTTTCATTATGCACACACTATCCACCTGAAAGCACATGCGTCTGGAGGTGTCTTGAATTCTGCAACTAGACATCTTCTCTAGTCGGCTCGTCTTTCATCTTTTGCTATCCTCTATAATGCGTCCTGCCTCGCCATGCCAGGCGCTCTCTATACTGCTGGTACTCCTGTGCAGCATCGGTTGGCCAGTTGATTTCCTATGGTTCGACAAAAATACATTCGAAAGGGACTCATTGATGCAACCGAGGAATATGCAACATGAACACGTTTATTTTGTACTGCAGTCTTCACTAGCTATATGGATGAAGGAAGAAAAATATTCGTGTACCAGTACTATGTAGTTGAACAACTTTTGCGTAAATGAAAGTACACCCTCCGCCACCCTCCGCCCTAGTTTCTCTAGCCTAAACCAACCCTCTATATCATTCTTTTTAATAAATCCGCCGCCCAAATTCCTACATGCACTTGCGCGTGCTATAGGCTCAAGTCGGTGTCCTGTGTTTTAACCCGTACTCGAATCGAATAGTAAGAAATCATTGCGATTGTAATTATCAGATAAAAGAAACGAAGCCCTGGGCAACTCACATTCACTGGCATTGCACCAACAAGTTGATGACCCCGATGTCTTGCCAGTGGATGAAAGTTGCAGACAACTTGTACGATTGGCACAGCCACTCTGGCCGCACGGAAAGAAACTCAGACTTGGGATGACTAATCATTTTGCGTCGAGCATGCCAACACCCGTGTTGTTGTCACGGTAAGTACAACCCTTGCAGTTTGAAAAGCTTGCGCTTATAACAACTAGTGGACTTGACCCGGTGTTAGGCATTTTCACAGGTTGCTTTGCCTATTACCTCCACGAAACGCATCCTCGCACCGCACCCCCGCCAGACAAACGACTTGCGGCACTCGTGCAGTGGAAATGGGCAAAATGGAAGCGTGAGCGGGAGGAAAAGTTGAATGCGCTTGAGAGAGAGGCGGAACCATCTTCCAGAGTAGTCGGTTGATTCCGGCTCAGTTAAGGTGTATGGCTGGGATGTATGCAGTAATAGCAGTTGGTATGTAGCGATCAATTCTTAGTATTCTTTCAGCTCAGTTCTTTGCGTAGCGGTGGATGCTATCCGCTACAGTCGAAACACGAGCTGCATGTGCTACAATGGAGCTAAAGTCTAGAGATCGTAATAGGCTTCATCAATGCCATGATATGGCCGTGCCCCATCAGTCCTGCGGTCGCTACTCGATCGTCTCGCCGCTTTAGTAGGGGACGCGAATCACTACTCAGTATACGAAACATTCAATACCTATTGGGAATGATCACTAGGGATGAGACACAGATATGATGGTTGTCACGGTAGCCGACTCTGACCAAACTCGAAGATCAGTTTCTGTGCCGGGTTTGCAACTGGCCACCGCGATTGCCACGAGCAACAGTGGAAGCACAACCCCTGCCTCTGAACTGGTTGGTGCCCGTGCGGGAGCAAGTATGTGGCGCAGGGCTGGTCAAGTACCTGCATATTAGACTTTTCATGCTCTTACTATCTTGAAAATAACATACACACGACAAACGTTGATTTTTTTTTGGCAAACAACGTCCGTTGATATGCATCCGCCCATCGAAAACAATACAGAAAAAGACCAAAGCTAATCAAACTGTGGCGAACGGCGTTGCTACGATAATAGGGACAAGGTAACAGGTCCCTGAGTGCTAACGTGATAATCGGTTTTGCAGATGCAGTGCAAGTTGTGCAACAAATGCCATACTGCCTCGAGAGTCTAGGCTTGCCTGTTATGTCACATAAAATTTAAATGATGGTAGGACCCTGTAGGACCTTTCTTCATTTTACTATTTCGCTACATACTGATCGTCAACTGCTATTCGCAATGAGGAAAGGCAACTCATCGAGGAATTCGACTCAAGAAACTAGTACATCTAGCGAAGCAACAGCTCGTGGAAGCTCGGTACGTGGCTTATGAGGATAACTTACTAGTTCACTCCAATCCCAACACTGACATCGACGCATCCTTCGTCTAGCACCGACCCCGTGGCAGAGTCGGTCGGTTTCTGCAGAAGGTTAAGGACGGTGCAAACAAGTTAAGGGTCTCGGTGAGTCCACGAACATGCGTAATGAGTGTCCTAGAATACGACCAAGATTGCAACAAGCGCTCGAAGGATTCCCGTAGCCATAGCCCTGCTCCCCCGAATGTGCTGCTTCAATGTGCTCCACTAACCCCGAATATCAACGAGGTAGGTTTCTCAAACTTGTTCTTCAGTCTCTGTGCTCTCTAAATTTTGGTGGTCGTGCAGGTTCAGGCTGATACCCAATCGGCACTTCTGGATGCACAACAGGCTGCACAACGCATACATACACTGTCGGGACCTGCGATAATTGTGGCGTCTGTTGACCAAGACACACAAGCGGATCTCGATGCTGCTGACGGTTTCCAGGACACGTATCTCAAACCTCTCAGGATATTCGACGATGCTATCGGGAAGATCACGGATGTATGGGCCTTCCTCATGATCGGGACCGAACTAATCTAGCTCCACAGGTACATCCATGTACAGAGATGGCACTGGGCGTATTGTCTTGTGCAGCCAAAGTATGTTTTCTTTTTCTCTCTTCCTATCTTCCACTGCTCAGCAAATATTTGTGCAGATTATTCTCACTCAAGCGGATCGTGACGCAGTGGTACTCGGACTTGTCAAAAAGTTGCGTCAAGTTTACATGTTCATCGCACAAGATCAGATGCTCGGCCAAATCTCGTCAATGCACATTACCCTTGGACAGATCTCTCAGCAAACTCTTGAATGTGCTCAATTCATCAAAAATTATTCGGAGACCAAATTTTTTTGTGAGTCATAACAAGCTGCTGCGCTTTGCATTGTCTCAAGCTTATATCGTTATCGCAGGGATGAGACTCGGAAAGAACGTCATCTCGGAAACGAACGATACGATTCAACAGTACAGCAACGTGTTGGATATGCTCATGCAAAACTTCCGGGACCAAGTCACTCGCGACGTAGCCATACACGTCCACCGTACGGGTAAGCGTTCGAACGTCCTTATGACTTGACATATATTCATACCTTGTCAGGAGAAATACTAGATCTCAGTGGCATGACTTACGCAGCGGGTGCGGGACTAGATACCAGGAAACAATGCCTGCAAGGAACGCGCACGGAAATCCTTTCCCAGATTACGGAATGGGTCAACAGCACTGAGGACAACGTTCCACGCGTGCTGTGGCTATCTGGTCCTGCAGGCAAGGGCAAATCGGCCATCGGCCACACCATTGCTAAGTGGTTCAACGACGTGGGAGGGCTTGGTTCGTGTTACTCTTTTGACCGCCAGCGAGAAGCAGATCGTCGCCATGAAAAGATCTTTTCTACGATCGCACGCGACCTGGCTGACCGTGATGTGGAGATGAGGCGAGCATTAGCAGATGCAGTTCAGACCGCGAATTCGCTCAAGAATACAGCAGATATCACCCAGCAGTGGCAGAAGTTTCTTATCGAACCACTGAAGAAGTCATCTGGGTCAACTATGGGACCCATCTTGATCATGATCGACGCACTGGACGAGAGCGGTGGAGTGGAGACACGAAGAGACCTCCTCCGTATTCTAGCTGGCAAACATCAAAACCCCACTGTTCCCAAAATCACGGACCTCCCAGACAACTTCCGCTTCATCGTCACCTCTCGGCCGCTTGGTGACATCAAAGACGAGTTTCGTGGTGTTCAGCATATTCGACAGATGTCGATGGATGATATTCCAACAGCAGTCGCAGAGCGCGACATCCATGCTTACGTATCCAAGGAGTTGGAAGGGCTGGATTTCCAGGACAGAGAGTTCGCAGTGCTCGCTGAGAAAGCTGATGGACTTTTCGAGTGGGCGCGTCTCGCCTGCGGATACGTCAAAGAACCTCATGTGGGGCTATCTCCAATTGATTGCTACGACGCCGTGGTGTCACGCGATCCTGCTAAGAAAAACATGCTGTTGCACAGCATGTATGACCTCATTTTAACAGATATCTTACCCAGTGGTACATCTACCCATGTCCAGCATTCGCAGAAATCGCGTTCGACGGCTCTAGCGAGATTCCGCTCAGTGATGGGACAAATACTAGGCACGGCTGAACCCCTTCCTTTAGCTTCCCTGAACGCCATGAGGCGCCATTTTCCAATGCGAGAGGACAACTTCGATGTGGAGCTTGTGGTAAAAGGCATGGGCTCCCTCCTCAGTGGCACCACCAGCCCAGATTCCCCAATCCGACCCCTTCACACATCCTTCCGTGATTTCTTGACGGACAAATCATTCAGCGGAGAGTTTTTCATTGACCTGTCAAAGGCGCAACACGACCTTGCATTCGCGTCACTTCGAGTGATGGAACACGATCTCCGCTTCAATATCTGTAATTTGAAGTCGTCGTATCTGCCTAATTGCGAAGATCCCAGGCTGCAAGAACGAGTTCAAAAATGCATTCTTCCACATTTGTCATATTCCTGTCGATTTTGGACGTCGCACGTACGAGCCACCGCCTTCGACAAGGAGCTCGCGACAGAAGTGAAATTGTTGTTCGACCACGAACGGCTGTTTTTCTGGCTCGAGTTACTCGCCCTGATCAATGCGCTCAGCGGTGCAGTTGCTGCCCTCTCATTCATTCCCCTGTGGCTGAAGGTGAGTACATTGCTACTGAGTCCCAGATAAAACGCTAATGCGCAACCACAGGGCCATCCCAGATTCAAAGACATCTCGTTGACTGCAATGGACACACAGAGGTTCATTCAAGTCTTTGGCGGCATCATTTTATACAGCACGCCACATCTGTATGTGTCAGCACTCCCATTCTCGCCTGCCAACTCTCCACTATCGAAAAAGTTTTCTGAATGGTTTCCGAATACCCTTCGTGTAGCATTTGGACGTGATATGAACTGGCCGGCTGTTCAGACCGTGCTCAGGGGGCATACTGATTCAGTTACCTCGGTCTCGTTCTCGCCGGATGGTACTCGCATCGTCACTGGTTCTTGGGATAACACTGTTTGGCTGTGGGATGCAGGGACGGGGCGGCCAGTAGGTGAGCCCTTACGAGGGCACACTTCTTCAGTTACCTCGGTCTCGTTCTCGCCGAACGGCACTCGCATCGTCACTGGTTCTTGGGATAAGACTGTTCGGTTGTGGGACGCAGGGACGGGACAGCCAATCGGTGAGCCCTTGCGGGGGCACACTTCTTCCGTTACCTCGGTCTTGTTCTCGCCGAACGGCACTCGCATCGTCTCTGGTTCGGAGGATAAGACTGTTCGGCTGTGGGATGCAGGGACGGGACAGCCAGTCGGTGAGCCCTTGCGGGGGCACACTGATTATGTCAACTCAATCTCGTTCTCGCTGGACGGCACTCGTATCGTCACCGGTTCTTTGGATAAGACCGTTCGGCTGTGGGATCCAAGGACGGGACAGCCAGTCGGTGAGCCCTTGCGGGGGCACACTGATTATGTCAACTCGGTCTCGTTCTCCCCGAACGGCACTCGCATCGTCACTGGTTCAAGGGATAAGACTGTTCGGTTGTGGGATGCAAGGACGGGACAGCCAGTCGGTAAGCCCTTGCGGGGGCACACTGATTGTGTCAAATCGGTCTCGTTCTCGCCGGACGGCGCTCGCATCGTCACTGGTTCAAACGATAAGACCGTTCGGCTGTGGGATGCATGGACGGGACAGCCAGTTGGTGAGCCCTTGCGGGGGCACACTCATCATGTCAACTCGGTGTCGTTCTCGCCGGACGGCACTCGCATCGTCACCGGCTCCTACGATAAGACTATTCGGCTGTGGGATGCCCAGCGAGTCGGTGAGCCCTTGCGTGGGCATACTGATTCAGTTACCTCGGTCTCGTTCTCGCCGGACGGCACTCGCATCGTCACTGGTTCAAGGGATAAGACTGTTCGGCTGTGGGATGCAAGGACGGGACAGCCAGTCGGTGAGCCCTTGCGGGGGCACACTGATTATGTCAACTCGGTCTCGTTCTCGCCGGACGGCACTCGCATCGTCACTGGTTCGGATGATAAGACCGTTCGGCTGTGGGATGCATGGACGGGACAGCCAGTCGGTGAGCCCTTGCAGGGACACATTAATTCAGTCACCTCGGTCTCGTTCTCGCCGGACAACACTCATATCGTCACTGGTTCAAGGGATAAGACTGTTCGGCTGTGGGATGCAGGGACGGGACAGCCAGTTGGTGAGCCCTTGCGGGGGCACACTGATTGTGTCAACTCGGTCTCGTTCTCGCCGGACGGCACTCGCATCGTCACCGGCTCCTACGATAAGACTATTCGGCTGTGGGATGCTCAGCGAGTCGGTGAGCCCTTGCGGGGGCACACTGATTACGTCAACTCGGTCTCGTTCTCGCCCGACGGCACTCGCATCGTCACCGGTTCAAGGGATAAGACCGTTCGGCTGTGGAATGCAAGGACGGGACAACCAGTCGGTGGGCCCTTGCGAGGGCACACTGATTATGTCAACTCGGTCTCGTTCTCCCTGGACGGCACTCGCATCGTCACTGGTTCGGACGATAAGACTATTCGGCTGTGGGATGCATGGACGGGACAGCCAATCGGTGAGCCCTTGCGGGGGCACACTCATTATGTCAACTCGGTATCGTTCTCGCCGGACGGCACTTGCGTCATCACTGGTTCGAACGATAAGACTGTTCGGCTGTGGGATGCAGTGACGAGGCAGACATCGCAACAGTGCGCCGTGTCAGATCCTTCGGCATTCTCAGATGAACATCGCACGATCGAGGCCACCACTACCATCAAATCGAACACTCGGAACAATCACTTCATTTCCTTCTCGTCCAACTTCATCCATGCGCTCTGCAACACCTCTGAGCTAACGGAGGAAGCATCCCATGATGACGACCACAGTTCTACCCCCTTTTTCCTGAATAGTGACAGTGGATGGGTGGTGGGGCCCAAACATCGGCTCTTATTCTGGGTACCACCTGCTTCTCGAAACCCATTTTATAACCCTGCAACTGCATTAGTGATACCCAGAGGATGTCCTGAGCTTGATTTGAGTCGCATGGCACATGGACAACACTGGCAAAAGTGCCGAGAGGAGTGAGTCTCTTCAAAACCCTTTCCGTGCCCCGCACTTAATAAAATCAACACTTACAGATCTTAATCCTGTAATGATTGCATTCCATCAATTTGATTTTTTTGGAGATTTCACATATAACTTGGATGTAACGTTT